TACGCAACGACAATGAGGGACGCGCTGAATTTCAATGATGAAAGCTACAACAAAGAGAAACAAAACGGAAGCAAATGATTGTCGCGTACAACAATAAACAATATGACTACTGTTTATATAAAAAAAAATCAAGCTGCTTTACTTCAATCCATCACGATGACTAAATTGATGATGTAATTATGCAATAATCGCACATTCTCGTTTCCTTTTTTTTTATTGATATAAAACGCTGATATTTGCACGGAAATTAGACGATGATGTTGCAATGATCATATTTTTTTTAAAACAAACAAATTGCATAAATTCATTGATGCATTGGCATAGTTTATAATTATGATTTAATAATTTGCAAATGTGATTAATGTTCTAATAATTGGAAAGGATACAACATAGTTTCATAGTATGCGTGCATAGTGCACCGACAACATATATTTTCATTTGTTTTTGCATTCTATGAATAGAAAATCACACGTGCCCGGGCAAAATCCTCGCAGAGATTAATGGTTATTTATATTTGTTGTTTTTTTCGCCCATTATTGATTGATTTTTATTTGTGAATGTGTGTTATGATTATTATTCAGTTTATGTAATAATATCAAAATAAATAAAAAAAAAACCAATACAAGTACAGTTCATTCAATAAACGGAATTACAAGAAAATACAAAAATATCATCATTATGTATGAAATTATATAATTTTTACTTTAATTGAGATGTCTTTATTCTTGATAGTTTTTAATTAAGATTAGTAGATTATTATATAATTTGTTGGCATTTATTTCCAAGAAGAATGTAAACTTATATGTTAAAATGTTTCTTAGCAACTTAACGGAAACTTAAGTTTATAACAGAAACTTATACAATACATTTTTTTGACACTAATCTTACGTTTTTGAGAATATTTGCTGAGAAATTAAGTGAAATTTATTTGATTTTTTTTTAAATATTATATTTTAATTTCTATCAACTTGTTATAATATATTAATAACTGTTATTTAGTACAAGTTACCTAAGTTATTCCTATGCAATGTACTCGAGAATGAACAAAAAGAAACGTGTGATTGTTCGAGCAGGAAGTTGTGTAATTAAAGTTTTTTTTTACTTCTTCTTCTCCTCCATCTCGTTTGCATACGCTCGTGTATGTATATTAAAGATTTTGTTAATTTTCCATGTGGTACGTGCAGGACTTGTTGAGTGAGCGTTATATACACTACGTGCGCAATTTATTTCTGGATCTGGATGCTGATCCAGATGTATCGATTCGCTGGTGTGATTCACAACCGGACCTTTCATAACTTTTTAGCAAGAAGAGAGAATAAAAAAAGAAGGAAATAAGAGAGGAGATGGAAGAGCACGAAAAAAAAAGAATCGTGGTTAAATAAACTGGAGCCTCTGGCTCTGCTGCATGCGTACACTACGCTTGAAACACACGGGCTCTGCCGTAATCGGATTGCAGGCCGGATCATTTACAGCTCCACCACCACCCGTTCGAATTGGAATTACAATTTCCATAGTTTCGGACCATCTGCGGAAATGGCATTCGATTATGTAATACGTACATATAGTCGTCTGGCAATGCTGGTTAAAATATCGAGCTGCGGACTGACCGGTTTCCTCCTATCGCAGACGACACACGTAGTAGCAGACTCGGGGTGTTTTTCCAACCGGAACACGGCGGACGGACGGACGGAGGCCCATGCCTTCCGGGAACCGAAAGGGTTTTTAGGGGAAGACGGAAACAACAGGTGTTTGTCCTCGGGGTTTGTTGTGTTCGCACATAAAATACCTTCTCCCCCGTCGCCATTCCTCATTTTACACGTCGCTCGCTTCGCTCTACACGATTCCAGTTCGATGCATTTTTTCATTATTTAAATTTCACACATATCCAGATGGTGTTTAAAAAAAAGATGTATTTTTGTTTTCTTAGTATTTTCCATCCAACGCTCTAAAAATAAATTCATCGCACATAAACGGATAAACGTTTCCAATTATTTCCTTTGGATCAATAAATTTCAATCTTTAATTTCAGATGAATTACAAACTTTTAGTACTATGGAAGACTGAAATCTCAGCTAGTAAATCAAATAGACTTGAAAAGTGCAAGTATCAATTAATTGCATCCATTATTTCTCATAAAAAACCATTTGAAACAGAAAAAAATAACATCGAAGATTATTGCACAAATTGTCAATTGTACAGACAAAACTGGATAAACAAAACTTGCCAGTTTTCATTAAATACTGAAGCTATTATGTAATGATGTGTATTTTCTATTTCGTTTTATCCTTATATCCTTATTATTATTATTAAACATCATTATTATTAAACATTAAACATCAAAAAGTAGTGACTGAAACCAACTAACACAAAACTTCAACGAAGTAATTCAAGTTGAAGAGGTAAATCACAGAGCAAATCATACAATATTTAACTTATGTAACAATTAAAACGTTTCAAAACAATAGATTTCATAGTAAAGAAAAGTGCATATATTCTCGAGACGAATCGAATAACGTATTATACAAATATTTTTATTTGATTGAATAAGGATTTTAACCGCAATATATAAAAAATTTAATTGAAATTGTTAATAATTTAGAAGAATAATTATATAAAAAAAATATTGAAAACGAATAACTTTTATATTAATTGGAAATGTTGTCTGTTTGATTATACTAGTCATTTTATATAATTGTAAATTCATGTACGCAAACCGCAAATATGATTTACTAGGTAATGTCGACTACATCGGCTGGAATTTCTATAGTTGATGAACAAAACATTGCAATAAAAGCAAGTAAATAAAATATTTACTATCAAATAGATTTAACAATTGCAAGAATAAAATACAAATTAAAACTGAAAAAGTACTATAATTTAGCTTCCTAATCCTATTAATGTAGCTTTTAATGTTATTCGCAATAATGTTAAATGAAAGGTTCTTGCTTTACGGTTCGATGAGAAAATGTAAGTTTAATATATATGTTGTGATACTATGAAAGGGATTAAATTTATAAACATATTTTTTTTATGAATTTTGCATACTTAAAACAGTACAACGAAGAAGACAAAGATATGTATTCTTCGAGTAGCATTGCGTTCCAGTTTACTGATTGTTGTTGTATGTAATTTACGACCATATATGTTGCTATAAATTTTATTATCCACGACTATTATTTCATATAAGGAAAACTCTTTTCTAATTTTTATTCAAAATTCTAAAATAAATCAATAAGTTTTGTTTGATGTATTGATTTATAACTATATATAGAAGAGATCAAGTCATTATTTTTTTGTCAACAAGGTTTCTTAGAAAGTTGGCATAAAAATAATTGGATGTCAAATAGTCAATTTAGCGATAATACTTATAAAAATATCTTTTAATTAACAAAAGCAGGCGCGTTGATAGATTTATGGTACGAAGTAAACCGACTATGAATTTATATATTTTTTTGTGCGCAAATGGCTGTGAATTGAGACACTCAGCTGTCTGTGGTCGGATCGAAAACAAGGTCGTGCGACATGTAAGAAAACCTCTGATCTATTCACAATTTTTTAGCACACACACTCACAACAATACAAAACGTTATTTAGTTTCGACTTCTCTTTAAATTTTGATAAACTTTCAACAATTTCCTGTAAAACGTATTAAATGACAAATGAATAAATTCTGGTAGATTTATTAAAGAAATAGAAAAAGATGAAAATGTTGCAAAAAATAATTTCAAGCAATTATATTCTAACAAAAAGGTATTCATTAGGATAGTGAAAAGTTTTTCTTTTAAATATTATCAAGCGACATAAAGTATTAACTAATTTATGAGTTTCAGTGTTCTCTCTTTTAGAAACTTTATAAATATAAGAGTTTCGATTTTGGCGTTACAGAAGCCGTGCAATAGGTCTTATTTAAGCTGAAAGTAAACGATAAATATTGCGAACGTGCTCGAAATTGTCAACAAGACCTATTCGTGGTGGAAGCTAATGCATAAAGTATATATATATGAAACCAAACACAGGAAGTCTCGGCGGTAATTCACTGAATCCACGAAATTAATGCATATTTCCAATTCGCAATAAAATGGTAATAACCTCGCAGAACTTTATAGATTTCCTCCTATTAAATGTCTAAACGGGAAATCCACACTCCGCCGTCTCGTCTCACAGTCCGTTCTATAACAAGTTATTTTCGAACGTCTATTTTACGCTGCATTACATTTTGGTATTTCGTCCTCCCAAATCTATTTGCATCTGTAATTATTATTTTAAACAAATATTTAAACCGTTAAAATTAGTTTAATAGATATTAGGAACAGCGCAATTTGGATATTTGACTCCAGTCGTAGGATTTACTTGCTGCAGTCCTTAATTAGGAATCAGTCAAAAGTTCTATTTTATGAATTAGTTTATTTTACTCATTTGATAGCTTAAGAAAGTTAAGCAATGCACTTAGCGTGTGGTATTAGGATGGTTGTGTTCTATATACATTAGAGATAAATATAACAAAAATATAGTTCAATGAAGACTATTTTTTTTAAGTTAAATTATTATGAATTTTTTAAGCCATATGAATGATAATTGTGTGTAAGTAATTTGAGTCAAATATTGAGGAAATTTTTAAAAGCGAAACATATGAATGCGTTTGAAACTTTGAAAATTTCTGTGTCAAATCAAAAATAATTGTTTAGAGTGTATCTTCTAATTGTATATAAGTTGTTAGCCTCGATTATCACGGCCGGTTGGAGCCCATCTTCTAGTTCTTTGTCTTTACATGGTATTAATTTGTCTAAGAGTTCTTTGTCACCATTTACACGGTCTTGATTTCCCAAGAATCGATCTTCCAATTACGAGCTCTTTGTCACCATTTCCGTGGCCTTGTTTCATCCGACGACCGTTCGATTTGCACGCACTCTCGCGGAATTAGCCCTTCGCGAAATAACTTCTTCAATCCACGCAAAGAACATAAATAAACTATACAGCAATAATACAAAATAAATACTTACATATAACACAAACCTGATAATAAAGCTGACGAAGAAACGCCAAAGTCAGAGGAGATCTGCAACATACAAGAAATAAAAAAATGTATTAGAAAGAGTATATTAAGATAAGAGTAGGTTTTATACAAAGAATAGAGCAATTTTATTAATATTTAAAAAATAAAGATTTCAGTGTTTTCAAATTTGATAATTTCTTGCTTAATGAGCGATTTATAATCAAAATTTTATAGGTTTGAACTAACTTATTATATTTTTAATCTAAAATCGAAATAAATCGGTATTTTTTTTAAGTCGACACAACTTTTAACTAATTAAGTTATTTTTCATCTAAAATTTAATAACCGGTTTTTCAATTTTGAAAATGTATCGAAATAAACCAGTATTTTCAAGAGTATTAATCAATTTTTAATTTAAAATTATTTCTTACAATTCTCTTAATATGTCTTAAGCCACTGCCAAAGCCAAAGAGTCAAACATGAAAATTACAACAATTTAAAAAAAAATTGGGAGCCAAATCTGCTAGTTTAGTAAACTTTTATTACACTAAATAAAACTAAATTTCATACTTAATAAATATTTATTAATGCGAATAATGTGCTTGCATCTCCTTGGAAAGTTTGAGTAAGTCAGGTTTGTATGTTGTTGCGCCTCCGTGGATATTTGTGCCAGAGCCGCACTTAAGGAGCCAAAGAGCCACATGCGGCTCTAGAGCCGCACTTTGCCGACCACTGAGCTAAAGCTAAAATGATTTAAACTCAAAATGAAAACGTTTTTATTTATACATGTAGTTATTTTTTACGTATGAACTATAGTATTCGAATTTGACTTTTTTTTTAATAAACCGATAATTGAAAAAAAATCGACAAACTGTAAAGAGGAGCATTAATCAATCGGTTGGCGGATTCGGTGAGTGAATGTTGTTGGTAAGTACAGAGGCGAGAGATAAAAATAGAAATTACATTTTGAAACGGCCGGCCGCAAATATGCGGTGTGCGCGCCTCTGCTGCTTCGTTTCCAGCTGGAACTTCACGCAATCAGGACGCGCAAATTCCCGTGAAGGACACACACACACACTCACATACAAGCACAGAGACAGAGTGAGAGAGATATCCACAAAATGGACAAAAAAAAAAGCAATGAGAAAAGAAAATCGATCGATTGTCTCGAATTGCATCATCCATGACTACCCTTATTACAATCGGTAAGCCAATTTGTGATATCAAATGATTTCTTAATGTGGCGTTTACTGGGAGGAAAATGCAGGAAAGGAACAAGAAAAAAAGGTTTGAAACGCGAGCGAAAGAAAAGGAAAAAAGTATTCGACGGGATGAAACAGGAGTAGGAGGAGAAGGATGATGATGATGACGACGACGGTGGCGTCGCGATGCCGACGCTTGCAGCTTCTCTCTAACTTGTTGAGCGCGCGACGCTTCCACCGAACTCCCATATATTTCAATCAATAAATTAGTCATAAATTACGTGCAGACTGCAGAGCCGGGCGACCAAAAGGAGATAAAGAGAACAGAAAAAAAAAGAAATGGAACATTACGTAACACATTGATGATTATTAATGTAAAAACATCTCTTTGTTTCTTTAACTCAACAATTTTAATCAATATTATTAATAGGTACTTTTATTTCTGTATTCTAATACTTATAAACTAGATAGTTTAACAAAATATAAACCAGTTAAAAATTGTAGTCACGAATAAGATGATTCAATTTATTAAAACGATATTAGGATTTTGAAGTTTTGTACTTAATCTTAGATAATATTAAATATTTTTATGGAATTTAAAAAGTTGTTTGTCTTTGTATCGAATAAAAAATATAGTTGGACAATTAAACCAAATACTGAACACAAAAGAATTTTATACTTCGTAATTTCTTGTAGCTTGGAACGAGTTTAATCTGTTCCAAAATTTCCGGATTTTTACTCTTATAGTGAAACATGTTCAAAAATACAGATAATTTGTGTACACAAGTTTTAAAAGTGAGGTAGCAGGCGCGCAATCCGGGTCTTCTCTTCTCATCATCACTTGTTATGCGAAACGTCGCTCGTTAAGCGAGTCATTTTTCTTACAATTCATTTTGATCGTTAAGTGAGGTTCCACTGCATCTACAAATTTGTTATAGGAAAGAAATTCAATATATTTCTTTCATAGGTAAAGTCAGTCTTCCATAATAAGATGTAGATTTGATGACTAAATTATTTAGCACTTAATCCCACCGTGTTTGGGGAAAAATACATATGTAATGTAAATCCAAGGACTAACCGCAGCACACGCCGCTTAACTCTCTTAAGCTGCGATATTTCAAATTCAATGCACACAAGTTTTTTTTTAAGGAATATTGAAATTGACTAATCTGAAATAAAACGAATAAATACATTTTATTTCACAACAAAACGTGCTCTTTTTTTAATTTATATAGTCTGTTTATCATAAGTTCAAAGATTAAGTACACCTATAATAAAGCAATAATTTTTAAACGTAAACCTCAAGATCAAAGTTTGAATATGTCTATAAAAAAAATTACAAAAAAAAAATGACTTTAGACATCTATTTTTGTAAATAAATAAACATGGGAATTTTGTAGAAACCCATTGGGTGTGACCGATCAAAGGTGAAATACAACCATAAAGAAATGAAACTAATAGTGAAACTAAAATTCAAGTGACTTCTGCTTGTATATAAACACACATACAATGATTCGATAAATCTTGAGAGTGAGAAAGAGAAAAAAAATGTTGGGAAAACCCGAGTCAATACATTGCAGTTCGCTGCGTTATATATTATTACATATTTTTTTCTTCTTTTCTTAAGTGTACATAAAGGAAAATAGGCAAACGCCATTTGGCATCAAAAACGTAATAAACTCGCCGATTTTTTTGGCAGCAAATTACGTTACGAATTAAAAAAAATTCTGCTTACATTTAATTTCAATACAGTCAGAAAATAACGTCAATATTTGCGTTTGTTCTATTTTGAATTACTTGCCTTGTTTTTCTTTCAACTTTTTAGTAGGAAACTGTTTTGCAAAGTCTTTTAATTTCCATGTATTTCATTAAAGAAGTACAAAGGTTTATCAATTTCGTAATAAATCATTTTTATCTTACAAGTGTCGATTTTCTGTATGTTCTTCTTATGTATTGCAATCTTTGTTTGAAAAAAATCTTTACCTCTAAAATGTTTCACTTAACGAAGTAAATTTGTGGAACGTTAATAGAAGATTTGTCAATTTGAATACGTTGCAGTTTTCATAGAAAAAAAAAGAAATAATGAATGTAATTCGCATTGAAAGAGTAATTTTAATTATGTTATGTAATAGCTTTCGGCACTTTTAAAAATGAACGTGTAAACAGGAATGCAATTTCAGCATCTGTTTCATTTTGAAATTAACTTTTCGAGTTTACTTAAAATAAACTGAGAACAATACGAGAAACGGTCTAATTGAAATATCAGTTTTCATTTTAATTAGTTTCTGTCCCTGTCGGGTGGTTATTTGCAAGTTGGTTAATGGACAAAGGATATTGTGATGCGGTTAAATGAAACGCGAAAATAAAAGGAGAACAGAAAAAAAAAATGATGGAGCGGTGGCTGGTGGGGGGAACGGAATCGTTTCAGGAAGTGGACAATAAACAACGGACAAGTTTATAGTAAATTATTCCATTGTTTGAGGAGTTTCACAAACGTTCCAATTTATGATTAAATTTCCTGTTAGGAAAGAAACGGCGATGCGAAAAAAGAGAGAAAGAGAGAAGAGGAAAAACAACTGAATCTGATTATAATGAATATCAATTGAGATCGTCGAAAGATTAAAACTATTTTTTTTTTGAAAAAAAAAAATTGTTAATTTGAGCAATTAAATTTGTAATTATATTAAAATACGTATTTTGCGAACACGGTAATTTGCACATTCGTAAAACATAAAATTAGCATATTATATAGATGTATTTCCTCGTATAACGCGATAATTATGTTCCTAGAATGTAACACGTAATTCGAAACCTTCTTGAGTGTTACTAAGATTCAATGCTTTATTAGGTGTTGTTTCAAACATAGTCGACACTTGAAAAACACGGTTTTGACAATTCAAAACCGTGTTATTAGATACTTCAGATCAGTATATAAATAGACATTCTATTACTAGCATAATCGTTGCACTCTGAGCATTTATAAGTACATATTAATTATATAAGATTTTTTTAGAAGCATTATTCGAGGATTTACTCTATATTTATATATGATAACCTATACTTTATGCGGTATAGATTACTCATACAATAAAATTTAGAACTAAATTTGTGATCGTTTTATAACTTTTCGCAGTAGTGAACTCGGGACTTTCACAAACTTTGTGTTACAAAGTTATTTCAATATGCTCGTGCTGTGTGAGTTAGGTTTGAGTGTAATTACGTAAGTGTTAAGTATTGTAAAAGTACTGAATTATATGATTGATATGATAATAATGTTTCTAAAATAATAAGTATACATTTTTTAATTACATCATTAGAACGTGATTTTGTAAGTGTACAAAACAAATATGAAAGATAAATGCATGTACGTGATAGTCCCAAAATTGCATGTTTTCATTTTGTAATGGAATAATTTTATGTAGCATTCAGTGCACAATTTTTGTTTCGCATGGATCAATTTCATATTTTCATTACAATTATAATTTCATAGATTTGGAGCAGTATTTAGTGAAAATGTTTAACAACTATTGGTAAGTATTCAATATTGTCACGTCAAGTCACGTTTCTCATGAATTTGTTCTTCATTATTAATCAATATGATATATTTTATTTTTTAGTTTCATTATGTAATTTCAAAGATTTAGAGCAGTAGTTTCTGAAAATTTTAAAGCACTGTTGGTAAATATTCAATAATATCACGTTTTCTTTTGGATATCACGTCAAGTCACGTTTCTCATCGATTTGTTTATGATTATTACCTAAACTGATCAATATGAGATGTTTTATTTTATACTGTATTATCACTGTAATTTCAAAGATTTAGAGCAAGATTTGGTGGAAATTTTAAAGGAAGGTTTGAAG